GAACAATGACGAGTATTTGTTTTCGTAAAGCCATCTATCTGTAGTCTGGTCCAACATCATCTAATTTCATAATAAGCAGCTATAGTTTTCAATCTTACCCAGTTATTTAAAAATTACGAAGTACCACAATTTTGAAAGATGAGGTAAATTCTGATTCGACTGAACTTTGTTATTCACCTTAAATTCTTAGATAATTTTGTAATTGGAAAATAAAGAAAATCAATTAAAAAAGTAAAACATTGAAACCATAAATAAAATATGCCATTAAATATACTACATAGATTAGTGTCTAGAACTATATATACATCAAACTCCTATATCAATGTAATCAAGTAAAGGTCAAGAATGGGGTAATAACTCAGTTATAAACAATTTGTGATATTGGTTTTTAATTGTATCATCTCTAACAACTTTAAAATAGTTGCATAAAATCGAAAACTACTTGATTTTATCAAGTTCATTTGCTAGAGAAGTCTACCCGAATGAATATTATCCATATGTTTCCTTCCTTATTCCAAGGGATTTCCTCCTTCTCCAGAGGCTTATCTACACACAATAAGAAAAAAAATGAATTAATAAAGTACAAGACTATTTAAATGGCAAACTACTGTCATATATAACTTAACTGAAAAAAAAAAATAAAAAAAAAATATGAGCTTAAATATTGACAATTATTCTCAAAATTATTGTTACTTTAATTTTCATTTTCTTTGTACTAAAGTTGCCAACTATAGAAAACACTCATACCAGATGCTTACGCACCCATCTTTCTTGTATCCACCATATGTCCCAAATACAGCCTTCAGATAACGAATAGCTGAAATATAACATCGAATCCCAAACCTCAAGTGAGGTCATAGTTTTTAAAAGAGATAACTACAGAGTACCCTATAGCTCAACATATTTGCAAGGAAAATGACAATTTGGCCTTTTAAATCTTCCTGATTGGGGCAAACTGGTAGAGGGCAAAGTGAAGGAGTTGTTTTTAATTTGGCTAAACTACATGGGGTACTTGTTCTAATAATGCTTTAAAAAAATGTACACAAACAATATAAACCACATGGCAAACCAGAAATAGAAGTCAATGAAGCCTCATATGCTCCAGAGCATCCTTTGGCTCTAGATAATGCAGGTTAATGGAGAATTCTTCTATGTAAGTCTTTTATTTTTAAGTGAGATCACATAGAGTTTCTCAGAGCATCTCCAATGGTCTTTCCCTTGTTTTATTTTGTTGCCACGTGGCACAAAAAATCTTATGTGGCATGAAAAACGTCTAGAAGGCTTTCCAAATGTAGAAGCTCTTGTGTAAGAATAATTCTTTTTGGAGGGTGGTGGCAAAGGTCATACAATATCAGTACTGGTCCAAAGTAATTATGTCGTTCTCTATAAGAAAATGATGTCATGTACCTTCCCTTTTATGACGTCTAGGTTGAAGTTATAGTAGGAGAATCAATGGCCGTAATAGCAAACCTCTTCCATAAGCTTTACAGCATTTTCATAATCCTTTCTTGACTGCAAAAAGGTTCAACAAATATTTAAGCTGTAGGAAATTATAAGGGAAAAGGTGAGTCACAGCAGCACAAAGACTTACAACCTTATAGTACTCTTTCATAATGACCCAGTACTCAGCCTCAACTTTTCGTAAGTCCTCATAAATTTTGTCTTACAACAAAATTTGCACGCACCAGACAATATTAGTACCAAGAATTGGAAACCAGGGCACTAAAAGTAAAAGGTTCAGGATAGCCACAGCTAATGCACGTGAAGAAAGGGCATAATCGTGAAGATGAGTAATTTGGTAATTGAGCATTTATTAAGAAAATCAGTATTAGAACGCTAAGAGTATTTTTCCAATATCCATGACATCATTTATATTATATGATTATTGATGAATAGTGAATAGACAAGTCTATTTAATGACATATGGCACAAATGATAAACAATGTAATAAAAGTTCATCAAAACTGAAGCCCGCACCACCAGATGTATATACGTGTCACCTCGTTACAACCATCAGAAACATGCGTACAAATATTAAAGTTCATTAGACGGAAGAAGTTCATATAGTATCAATACATTCCTTCACGCACAACTTTGGTTGCATCTCTCGTGTTCTGCATGTACTTGCAACGCTTATGTATGTTAGCATAACAGACTTTAATACACATGTACTGTTTTTAATATTAATGGCTAATAACCATGAGAGATACGACAGACATCATAAATGTGAGTACAACTTTCCCTTTATTCATTAATGAGGGTTCATATGAACATATACGAACATGCTATAATAACATTAACCTGAAGAAAATTTTAAGCCGTTCCAGAGGAGCTACAGCAGTCCCTGACCTAGAATAAAAGACATCATTACTTTGCATCTGTAAACTAATAGCTAAACCTACAAGTATCATTAGGTTTAACAAGGTTCTCCATCAATTAGTGGTTTCTGAAAATAGTCGTGCTCATTCTATCTCTACTTCTCTCTTAACCTTCAGCTCCACTTCAGTACTAAAATATTACCAAAGTTCCTTTATTAGTACATTCAAGATGCATTTGGTTTATTTGAAAAAGGAAAAACAAAAATGAAATACATATGAGTAGAAACAAAAAAAAAAAATCATACAAAAGGATACACTTGGAGCATGTGATATCTTCACTCCAATCAACCAAACCTTCTCTTTTATCAACCTATCTGAAATATACAAACTTTTGTCCCCATAACAAATAACAATCTCCTTTTCCTCCAAACTCACCACCCAAGCTACCATCAACACCAGTTAGAGAAAAAATAATAAAGTAATAAACAGATATAACATCTTCAATCAAACAAGTATACTCCACCAAGAAATAACATGAAATGAACAGAGAAAGCATACATTCAATCATCACATATTATCTACATGCATGCGCGACAAAAACAAGTAAACAAAATCCCAAGCTTACACTCCTCCGACGAGACCGCCGACGACCAACGATTTACAGATGGTGTAAACTGATTCTTAGTGGGCTTTATATCTTCCTTCCCGAGCTTTGCCTCCTCCACGAAACTAACAATCTTCGACACAATAGATTCGCTCGTCTTCACATTCTCTCGACGCGATTAAATCACCTCTACAAAAAAAAAAAAAGATCCTAAAATATCGTAATAATACGATCCAACAATACTATGCTACCAAAGAAAAAACCCTAGAGATACGATCAAAATCAAAGTATCATTCCACACCTGTTGAATCCACTCTCTCGGTGGTCGGGGAGTCGATGGCGACACATAGACTGAAAAAATTGGGGTGGAAAATCTACTCTGCCGCGGAATTGAATGTGCAGGAGAATTGGAAAGCGCAAAAGAATCAGAAAAATAATCACACAAAACAAAACAAAACAAAAAACATTATTTTGCTATAAGCCACAAAACAACGTCGTTTTAATGAGGCGACGTGGCTGCATAAAAATAGGAGGGACACGCGTCAGATGAAGAGGGAAAGTGTTCCTTTTTATAGATATACTAGTTGGCCGTCCAGCTGTGCACGCACAGCCGGCTCTAGTCCAGTGTATAATTATAACTAATATTTAGGAAAATTTAAAAATACACATATGCACTTTTTATTAATACTGATAATATGTGTTTTAACAGTTCCATTGTGTTACAACTGTTTTGTTGTAGAACCAACCTATGTTAATGCGAAAATGTGACAACTGTGGTAACTTGTGAAATAGATGGCTAATAGAACATTATTCACTATTGGCAATTGTCCCCAAAAAATAGCATAGAATTGCTTAAAAAGGAAATAAACAACAGATTCAGATATTCAAACACTCAAACCGCAATCGAAAATCTTGAAATAACTCAAACCCTCCGAAATTCTTTGTTTCACAACTATGGGTAAGTCAGGTTATGAGAATTATAGTCTCCATGTTTTCTCAAAAACATCACTAATAATGGAATACTAAATTTAGTACTTCGACAATATAATTTAGAAAAGTGGCACTTGAAGGCTATAATTCTATTTAAACACGAAGATAGCAAGCAAGCTTAGTGTCCGTCTTACTGTTAAAACAATGAGGTCGTATATATTTTGTTAGCAACATAAATTTGTGAAAATGAACAGAGAATCCAACATGCAATTTGATCACAAATATGTTTATAATTTTTCTATTTCCTCCTCAAATGCTTTGAGCCTTAAACAATAACCAAGATTTTATATGTTTATACTCGAGGGTGGAGTGAAAAATGATTTTCACTACCATTATATCTCTTTGGAGTCATATCCTTGTCATGAGCGAGTTATGACAATTCATTTAAATGAGTCATATCCTTGTCATCTCGAGGAGCAGAATTATGACTCTGCTTCAGTGTGCAGTGAACAGACAATTCATCCTCAAGATCAACACGACAAACATACTCTATTTCTTTCTGATCATTCCATATATTAACTTGCAATTTGAGTTCCTCCAACGCTGCCGAATGAAAATACATTTAAGAATAAATTTTAGGTTCATTCTCTAGGGACCATTTACAGAATGCACATCCACACAAAAACCCAAAAAAAATGGAAAAAAATGATGAAGAATGCAATATTTACCTTTTGTGGGAACTCCATTTTCTTTCTCAATCATATCGTATTTTTCGTGTACAAATGCGGTGCAGCTGCAGAACTTGTTCTTAGTCTCTTCAAGCTTCTAATACTTCTCCAAAAGCTTCAAGTGCTTCCTTTTCACCTGCAAAAATTCAAAATGCATAAAAAACATCATAATTTTACAACTACTTCCACATTTCTCTACTACACAAATGAACGAAAAAACCCAACATCATAACCTGCCCCATCGCAGCAGGCGTCGGATCTTTCTTCTTGCACCACCGTCACATCCTCATCCACATCTTAAGAATCTGCTCTCAAGTACTGAAATTTAGGAAAACCAAAATCATTTGAGATAATGGTAACAATTATGATGTATTATTACGAAAATGTTGATCAATTAAGCAAAATTATCTCTCTACCCACTGTTCGAGAGGTGCTTCGGAGGTGGGTATGGCGAGCCCCTGATCGGTCTCTGGCCGTACTTCCTCGACGGGTACTCGTCCGGTGGGATATCGACAGCATTTAGGCTAATTGTCGGCACTCGAATCATTCTCCTCACCTTATTTTTCCTGTTAAGAGTAATTTCATATTTTTAGAGGAATCAAGCAATTAGTAAACTCGATTTCACTTGTTGCTACCCCAAAATTGAAAAGTTCCTATAGGTCAAAAGATCGAGTCTTTTAACCTCTCGAGAGCAAGCAAAACCCAGGACAAAAGATTGAGTCTTTTAACCTCTTTTCGACAGCCTCATCGAAAAAAAAAAGAATGAAATTGTAGATGCTTGTCCAAAGATTCTACCCTATTTCTCCCTCTCTGGGAAAAAAAAAAAATGAAGCACAAGAGTCAATACAAACCTACATGAAAAACCATCAATATGTAGCCAATATTCACGCTCTTCTATCTGCTAGTCTCTCTGGTGTGGGATGCATCAACTGGTGAAGTATTTTTCTCAATTCGCGCTCTTCTACACACAGATGAAGCAAGATTTCATACTTAAAACACACCCTGGATGATCTACTCTACACTGCATCGAGGACTATATTTTTGAAGAAATTGCTAGCAAATATGTGACGCTAGGTGGTAAGACTTAGGAAGAAGAAAGGCTTAGCCCCAGAAAACATCTTATGCAGCTGCACTGTCTTTGTGTTACTCATCCATGTGCACACATAACTTCTGAAATTACAAATAGATAAGAATTAACCCGAGCCTACCAAAAAACTTCTACAGGACAAAAAAAAAAAGAATGTTAAAGAAATTATTGAACAAAAAAAATCAGAAAAAATCCCCCAAAGAAATGAAAGAGGGCACCTTTTGGGGTCAATAAAACAGTGACGACAAAATCCAAATGATATGGAACACACTTATGAATTATGTAGAACTTTAAGAAGTGCTGCATAAAGTTAAATGCCATTTTCTCACATACAAACCATCTCTGTTGAAATCCAAATCTTTAATGTACCATACTTACACCTACACTGAACTACCTTTGATTTCATTACTTTCGACTTATCCAGAAAATGAAAGTATGTCAGTGGAAAAATCACAATCGATATCTGGGACCTTTTGAACAATTATAAGAAGTAAAACCTTCACAGATAGCCACAACTGGGTACAAAAAAATGACCTGAACAATAATGTTTTCCACCCACGAGGCAGGTTGGGCTGCCCAATAATGTTTTCTTTTACACTGCAAACAAAGAAAAACAATCTGATAAACACATAAATTATAACATATTTTTGCATGAACATATTGTCTCGTGTTCGAAGAGTGTCATGTAATAAGATAAATGGAATGAAAGACTCAAAGATGTCGTGCAAAAAGGAAAATTGAAAATAAAAGACAGAAAGAGAAGAAAACAATGGAGCAGTACAATGGACATAAATGCATTTAAGTAGTAAATGTCCTCAGTGATCAAAATAAATACGGGAAATAAAAGTCAAATAAAGCTCATGAGCAGTTTTCAGTTCACTTAAAATTCAGTAAATAATGCAAGAAATAATCCCTAATAAGAGTGAGATTTTTCAGATTACCCATGTGCCATCATGTAGTACATCTCAATGCTTTCCAAATAGTGCTGCAGAAACTGAACGTAAATGGTTAAGAGATGACCTTGATCTAGCACTGTCCAAATAACCACAACAAAAAAACATGTAAAGGAATCTACAAGAAAAATAAAAAAATAAAAAAACTTAGCCTGATATTTTTCATCCTCGTTCTCAACATAATCTTCATTCTCCTCGATAAAGGCCCATTTCCTCTCGTCCATGTCACTCTCAAAGTGTCTCTATTGTCTTAGCATCCTTTAATTTGGACCCAAGCTTTTGCAAATACTTTTCAGTCTTTTTCAGTAGTTGTTTAATTCGATCAGATTTTGCATCCTACAGCACAGTTGATGAACAATTCCAAAATATTAGAGGGATAAAATGGGCTCCCAATATATTTATAAAAATATGGACCGTGCAACACCTGAGCCATATGGAGATATCCTTCAACACCATTAATTTTCAACAAATTAATCTTTTCACGCTGGATCATGTCTTCTATCTTCTCACGATGAAATCTTTCCTTCCTCTTATGGAATTTCCTCACATGTCTATTAAATCCTTTCCAGCGCTCTCTTAATTAAAACCTATCTTGCAACCTTTCTCTGAAACCATCATGAAAAGATATAAAATTACCAATCAGAAAAAAGTAAAAGAAGGTGATAAATAACATGTGCTAACACCCTACAAATCATGATATTGATATACAGGAAAAAAAATACTTGTGGACTTCTAGTTCACTAAAGAAATCCTTCTGCTTTTCTTTAATGCTCTTCAGCCGCTCCACATCTTTCAATTTGTTTCGATCTCCTACCTATTTTGTGCTTCTTAATTTATCCAATCTATCCATTTCGGTGGCTATTCGTCCGCAAAAGTCATTTAAGATGTCACTGCAGCAGACTACAATAAGTTGTTAGACAAAGACAAACAAGCCAGCATGATGCCTGAATCAGTGAGATGGAATACAATAGTTAGAACTAATAAGAACTGACAGAATTCCCTAGACAAGTACCATAGGAAGAAAAGAGTAAGACATAAATATAAATGGCAGAGGTCTACATACATCAAAAGTCAATTCGATTCCCTTGTTAACTATAAATGACTGCGATAGGTTATTTTTATGAGCTACACAAAGTTTATAAAAAACTAAGTTCTGTTAGAATAGTGAAAAAACATCAACCGGCTATTCCACATCTCAATACCACATATCTAATTAAAAAGCAGATCAAAACAAAAAAGTCTTTCATGAATAACCTATATTTTACGTAAAATTCACTATTTGTACACAAATAAGTCAAGCTCAAGCCTAGCATCACATTTTACGAAATTAAAGAAACCTTCAGGCTTGGTTTGTAACTCAGTAAACCATGACCAAACAAGTCTTTTATGATGATTTTTGAGTCGAGTATAGAGTGATTTGGTTCAAATTGGGTTCTACAACTGACACCAACCACCATGCCAGCAACATATATAATACTTGTAGGCCATCTATGATCATAAATCACTTTATATTCAGAAGAGAATTCCGGTTATTATTATTTACAAGAGGTTGTGAAAAAATGAGATCTTATGGACTACTGCAACTCCACAAGGCCGCCACAAAAAATATTAAGGGACCTCAATGTTTCACACTTATTAAATATAAAAATTGAAAATAAATGAATATGTAACATGGACGGAGGACCAGAAATTTGTTGGTGACTCGAGCAGCTTATATCACCTTAAATTCTGCTCAAGACATCATCTGGTAACCAAAAGATAACAAGAATTGATTTCAACTTTCTCATGTAGCCAAATTAAAACAACAACACTTAAAAATGTAGGCCCCCTAAAAGAACAACTTTTCTACACCTCCACATTTAGTACATAGTTTAATGTTAGCAATGATTGCACATCCACCCAACACCTTAAAAAGATTATGGCTCCAAAATTTTATTTTGCTCAAGGGAAATCAAACATTGGATGAAGTAACTTCGAGAGCCTCAAGAAAATATTTGTGTTCACATCCAGCCTGACTGCACACTGAAATGAATAACTAAGGACTTGGGCGTCCTAAACTTAAACTCCACTTTATCTGCGCCAACATCTTGAACAAAACCGGGTGCAACATCAGCATTAACCTACCAAAGAAAATGGAAAAATCATTAGCAAACATAATCATCCAAAAATATAATTTTCTCAGCGTTCAGTAATCAAGCTAAAACACAAATTGACAACGAACAAAACAAAAAGGATAAAAAGAACATAAAAGGAGAGGGCAGCTCGCGAAATATGCCTGGAGGCCTTCTGGGATATTGCTGATGGCTTCTCTAGTGGAGGAAACTACATTGTTGATGATTGCAGTATTTAAAGCTGAGTAATCTAGTTGAACCTCTTTTAACAGCTCTTGCGACTTCAGGTTCGTGGAATCCTGGTACGTTTCAGAACCCAGCTTTTCTGAGCTAGAATTATGTTGCTGAGCGTGTGGCCGGGGAATGTGATGTTGTTTGCTAAACCCTCAAACGGAGATTTCTTCTGTCGCCTTAAACCTTAGACTCAGAAATTGGATGGGCTATTAAGTGGGCTACACCCATCTAAATGATGCGGGGCAAAGGTCGCCGACAGCGGAGGAGGATTTTTGGGGGGCCGCGGAGATGATGAACTCCAAATCGGAGGAGGAGGCGTGGTTGGAGGAGGATGGAAGTGTGTAGGAATTGGTGGCCGGGTTGTGGCGCTTTTGGTGGTGCTGGGCCACGGTGGCGGCAGGCGGTGTGGCTAGATTTCACGATTTTATCAGAGAGAGAAATGAGGTTCGAGAATAAAGAGAAAAATTGAGACGTGCAAGAGAGCAGAAAAGATATGGGGACATTCTCAGCAGATTTCTATCTCTCAGATTTTCCGGATACGCAACTAATAAAGAAAATAATAATAATAATAATAATAATAATTGAATGAAGGGCAAGATGTGTAAAAATAAGATAAAAGCAGGGGTATTTTAGTTCAAAAAATTGACACGTGTTAGTGCCACAATCCCTACAACATTTTCTTAGAGCATCTATAATGCATTGGGTCTAGTCTTGCCTATGTGGCATGTAAATAAACCCAAGTATTTGATGACATGGACAAAATTATCTAAAATTTTTCAAATCTATTCAAATACAAAGAGACTAGGTCTCTACTTGGGTCTAAAATAGACTTAAGACTAGACCGTGTCTCTTTTTCTAGCTGCCACATCAGCAGGACCCAGTCTACTTTTATTTGCATTGAAGGATATTTTTTTAGACTAGATCTAGTTCTTAGGTGGCGTACAATTTTTTGTGATTGAACTCAAAGTATTGTGGGTGCTATTATATGTTAAGGGGAGATATAAGAGAAAGAGATAGAGGAAGATAAATTACTATAATTATTTTTAATAATTTTTCCTTATAAGCCTTTTGTTACTAAAAGCATAATTTTTGTAGATGTATTTTTTTAGTTTTGTTATATACTAGTACAACGCCCGTGTATTAGACGGGTGCTTGCTAATTTTTTTTTCTTAACATCTTAAATTAATCAAAAAAAATAGTTGAAAATTTAATTATCTTTTATAAAAATATATATATTATTATATATTTAATATGACATTTTTTATTTGTGCGACTTATGTTACATTATAATAATTTTTTTAACTTACAATATAACTACATTAAACATAAATATTTCAATTGAAAAATAATTTTATTTTTTAATAAATTTTATTATATTTTATTATTATAAAGATAGATATAATATATTTATTTCATATATACAATATGGATGTCAAATCGAAAATCATCAAAAGATGATTAATTTGATTTATTATATATGTAAAACTGATAAGAAATACAAAACTTATCAACTTTTAAATCACATTTACAATTCAATAGCTAATTGAAGGAAGCAAATCAAAAGTCATGGATATATTAGTCACTTAGTCATTACTGTCTCACTCTGTAAAATTACTAAGAATTAAGATGTTATATTAGTACAAGTGATATTAAAATACCTAATTAGATAAATAATATTTATGGAATGTCTGAACCTAGATTATTGATTATTAATATATCAATGTTATTTGTCCAAACCTAATTACGAAGCATGATTCTTCGCCAAATAGGATTATGAAGCACCAGAAGCAGCCACGTAGGCTCAGCGCATTCGGGAATTAGTTAATCCCGTAAAGGTCATGTATTAGTTCTCTCAATTTTATTTAATATATTGTATTAATTTCTCCTCTTCATGATGACTTCACATTAATTAGTTAGTTAATCCTCACAAAGTTTATGCCACTTTCCATTAACTCCCTTTTCATATGAAAGATGAAAGTTAGTGATAATACCTTTCTTAAAACTTTTTATCAGTATCATTGAAATTAAATTATCAGGTAATTTTTTTCTTCAAACAGAACCTCAGTTAATAAAATGTATAAATGTCATCCCGCTTTAACATGTCATAAATTAAAAGGCATAAAACAAGATCTAAGGAAAAAAAAAGCTTGTACTGCATCTAATATTCTAATTACTATTCGTTAAACCAGGTAACGAAAAGAATTGCTCGTGAATTCAGCTCGTTTGAGCTAATTTGACAAACTAGTCGAGCTTAAGCTCGTTTCTTTAGTGAACTAACAAATAGATATTTAAACAAAAT